GTGCTGCATATGCCGCCAGCCGGGCGCCTCGGTCACCTGCAGAGCCCGGCGCTGTCCCCGCACCTTCCACTACCCCTGCGGCAGCGAGCGGGGCTGCATCTCCCAGTTCTTTGGGGAGTACAAGTGAGTGTCACCGCCCTGGGGTACCAGAGCCAGGGCCAGGATGGACGAGAGCTGGGGCTGAATCATCACCTCTGTCCGCAGGTCCTTCTGCTGGAAGCACCGGCCGGTGCAGCGGGTGCGGGCGGTGCAGCAGGAGCAGACCCTGTGCCTCATCTGCCAGGAGGCGGTGGCGGAGCGGCCGTGCTATGACACCCTGGTCTGTCCCACCTGCACCAGCGCCTGGTTCCACCGCCACTGTATTCAGGTAGGCAGCAGCAGCACCTGCGGTCCCCGACGTCATCAACCCTGTGGTCACCCCATCACCAAGCTCCTGGGGAGGGTGAATGGGACCCCAGCACCGCTGGTGCTGATGCTGTGTCTGTCCCAGGGCCAGGCGCTGCGCTCTGCCCTGCACTACTTCCGCTGCCCTCTCTGCAATGACAAGGACACCTTCCAAAAAGAGATGTTCCGCCTGGGCATCAAAATCCCGGACAGGTCGGTGCCCTCCCCCTGCCTCCTTCCCCTCTGCGGTGCTCCGGCCGATCCCCTCCTGCCTCCCCACATCCCCAGGCCTGAGCGCTCCTCTGGTCCCACAGGGATGCTGCCTGGGAGGAGAATGGAGCCTTTGCCAGCCTTTATGAGCGGCACAGATCCTGTGACACCAGCCAGTGCCTGTGCCCCGTGGACGGAGGAGGCAGAGGAGAATGGGTGAGTGCTGGTGGTCCCTGAGGTCGCCCCCTTCGGGTGGCGATGGAGGTACCAGGCTGGCAACCCCCATCCATCTCAGGGGCCTTTGGTTGCAATGGGTCCCATTGCCCCCCCAGGCCCTGGCGACTGCTGCTCTGCCACTCCTGTGGCTCCAGAGGGACCCACCGGCGCTGCTCCAACCTGGGAGAGGAGGTGGATTCCTGGGAATGCTGTGACTGCAGCGACACGGGCACTGGTGAGGCCTGCAAGTTGGGGGGCGGGACACAAGATCCCAAGAGCCATGTGGCCACCACTGCTACTTGGGACATGGGGACAGGCTCAGGGCTGTGATGGAGGGAGGGCGGGAGGGAGGGAGGTAGCGAGGGAGCGAGCGTGGCACAGGCTACGTGTGCTCATCATTCCCCTGCCCCTTGCAGTGCCAGCCTTGCTGCCAGGCCAGGTGCTGGACCCACTGGCACAGGGACCCTCACACAGTGTCCCAGCTCCTGACACCTCACCTGGGGACGAAGAGGCTGGGATCCCAGCAGGACGCCCCGACGTTGCAGAAGGGCTCCAGGAGTAAGGCCATGGATCCTTGGAGGCCTTGTGCCAGCAAAGCAAAGTGTAGGCCTCACATGTACATGACTTAAGCTGAAGGGCACACTGTCCTTGACCTCTGGGGAAAGTCCCTAGGGGCGGAGCTGCGGTTGAAGACCCTTGTAAACAGGGAGGCATAATTAACGCTACGAGGATAGAAGCCATGTACAGCACGAATAAAGTAGAAGCTTGTTTATCGCTCATATTGGGTTGTGTCTGGCTTCTCCTCGCCGTCGGCACCCCGACACCAACCTACCCTCCCAGACCCTACCCTAGAGATGTGCGGGTTCTCTCTAATAAAACTTGGAGCTTCACAGACGTGGATTTGCTGGTTGTGCCTGAGCACTGCAGGGCAAGAGCCGCTGCTTTGTCCCCAACCTCCTCCTTGCATCACAGGGGATGCCGGGCTGCTTCCCAAATAGGAGCTGGCACTGGGCACCCAGTGGAGATGCTGGTGTCATCCCGTGGGTGGCACTGGAGCTGAACCCAGGTTCCGGAGGGGGAGGCACCATGGGGGATGCTGTGGGGCTGAGGATGCTCTTGTTCCAGAGAGACTCCCACCTCCCCAGGATGCGTGGGAGAGGCAGGGCACAAGCATGGGTCTTGTCTCTCCCATCGGGGCTCCAGCGGAGACCTCAGAGCACACAAAGGAGTTGATAACACAAATACTTTATTCAGGCATCGAAACTCCTGACTGTTCGTTAGCAAGTAAATTGATATGGTTTAAATAATTTTCACTTTAAATTATTACTTTTCATAGAATTTATTTTATTTGGTGTTTTTTTCCCCCTCTTTTTAGCAAAAAGTACTTTGTTTAATTAAGTTAAATAGAAAGCTTTCCCACTGAAGAAGGCTGCAGTCCAAGTGGTCTCTTGTGTACTCAGGGCTGGGGAAGCACCAGGGGCATGACGGGTGGCAAGGGGGAAGGGTCAGTTCTTCAGGCTCTGGAAGCGCTGCAGATGTGCCTGCAGCCAGGACCCCTGGGATCTGTGCACAGCTCCTTCTTGGTGATGATCATGCTGCCAGGACAAGTCCCACGTTAGAGTGCTCGGCCGGGGCAGCGGGGTGCCTGCGATAGTTCCCCAGCCATGGCTGGGGCAGAGGGATGTGGACATGGCCCTCTTAGCCCCCAGAGCTACTCCCATCACTCTTGGCTGGCTGCAGCTGCTGCTGGTGATATAAGCAGGGGTGATGAGGTGCCGTGGGATGGGGCGTTGCTGGTAAGTGAAGCAGCACGTGGTGGGGACACCATCTGTGAGGGCAGAGACAGAGAGCCCTGGGGAGACCCCAGACACAGGGGTTCCCGGAGGATTTGCCGTCTCCCATGTCCCCTCTTGTGTGCTATTCCCTGGGTGCCAGCGTTGACCTCCTGCTCCCAGCTCTCCCCCTCCTGATGGGGATGGAGCTCACGCTCTGCCCCAGCAGCTCCTATGGAGCAATGGCACAGTGCGCCCCAGGGAGGGTGCAGCAATGCTGGACTCACCGAGATGGGCCTCAGATGGGGAGCGGGCAGCCACGAGGAGGAGAGCGACCAGAGCGGCTGCAGAGAACTTCATGGTGCTGCGGAGCTGAGGCAGCTGAAGCAGGGCTGGAGCTGGGGTCTGCAGGGCTCTGCACAAGGCTCAGCCCTGTGGCCATGCCCTCCTTTCCTCCCCGGCCACGTGGCCCGCACAGGGTTTCAAGGAAAGAAAATGAGTCCATGATACCAGGGAAATTATGTTCAAACACCCCTATTTGCTGAACTGGAGAAGGAAACCGCAGAAAGGGAAGCGCTGGCCATGGAAGTGCAACTTTCAGATTCCATTTGGGTGCCCCAAATGCCACAGCACCAACACTGCCACTGCTGCAAGGATCCCCCACCAGGCATGAGCCAGGCCGAGGCACAAAGCTCCATGGCCAGAGCCCCAGTGGCAATCCCAAGGAGGCAGCAAGCTCCAGGCAGGGATTTGCTTTGCAGCATCGCCGTGTTGGGGGGCTGAGGAGCTGCTCTGTGGATGGACACCCCCAGGCTCTGCTGCTGTTGCTGAGAGAAGACCACTGCCAGGAGAAAGCTCCCAGCTTAGTCCCAATTTTGGCACAAACAGCCTTTCTCACCCTGCTCCCCTGATCCCAGCAGAGATTCAGAGTTAGCGTCAGACCTGGCACCCAGGCTGGGGAGATCAGTAGTAAGCCCTCCGTGGGCAGGGAAACAGGGGGTTCCTACCCTGCAGCAAAGCAGCACTGCCAGGGATGTGAGAGGGGACCCCTTTAGCAGAAGGGAGCAAGAGAGTCTCAGGGGTACCCCCACATCCCTTGTGCCAGGGGTGGGAAAGCACCAATCCCTTTTGCCTCCTCTCAGTCTGCAGCCCCTATAGCAATTGTTGCTACAAGGACGTGTTCATCCGGCAGAAAATCCCTGCCCTCCTCATCAAGAGCTACCAGGAGATACCTTCCCACTGCTCCCACAAGACTCTGCGCTGAGTACCCCAAGCCAGCCTTCCTCCCTGGCACCCAGCTCCTCACCCTCACTCAGCCACCTTCCCTGTGCTCTTCCCTACGTTCCTTCCTTGTTCTGCCTTTCAGGAAGCCCCAAGACAAGCCACCCCCAAAGGGTGCCATGAAGGGGGGACTGCACTGGCTCTTCCCATGCACTTCCTTTCTCACTGCTCTAGCCCAAAGAGCCCCAGAACTCCCCATTTCAGCTGCCATCAAGAAAAGCGGGAAGGAAGCCAAGGCTCCAGATTGCTTAAAGTCAGACCTCTGGGGGGATGTGGGGAAAGGATGCTGCAGGGCACCCCAGGGCATGGCTCACCCTGCATTCCCCCATCTAACGCAGCCCTTCTCTCCCCCGCAGCGTGGAGCTGCAGAATGGGAAAGAGGTTCTGCGTGGTCCAGGACTCGTCCCAGCAGCACCAGCGGCAGAAGCAGTCAACCCGCACGTCCGCGTGAAGCTGCCTTCCCCATAAGCCGTACATTGCTCAATAGGTTTAATACAAGATCTCATGCGGATCTGCTGCTGGAGTGAGACTGGATAAATCCTGCGGGATAAACGGGTCACATCAGCATTTGTTCTCACCACGGGGACCCAGGAATAGTCCAGGAGGCCTGGAAGGGCAGGGAAACCAAAAAGGGGTACGGCCGATCCCCTCCAAGATGAAGCAGCCCATGCCCAGGCGAGGTTCACCAAGGCTCAGTGCTAATGCTGCACTTGGGTCACAACAACCCCATGCACCAGGGAAAAGAGGCTGGCGGAAATGGCTTGGGGTGGTGGTCAAAAGCCAGCTAAAGCTGAGCCAGGTCTGTGGCCAGATGGCCAAGAAGGTCAACGGCATCCTGGCTTGTATCAGCAATAGCGCGGCAGCAGGGCCAGGGAAGCCATCGTCCCCCTGTACTGGTGGGTCCCGTGCCGGGGGGTCCAGCGCCTGGGCTGGCTGCAAGGTGGGCACTGCGAAGGGCAGGGAGACGATGAGCAGAGCCAGCCCACACCACGCTCCCTCCCTCCATCTGTCCCTGGATCGCAGCCCTGTGCCTCTCCCCGCATTCCAGATGCCCCGGGCGGAGCCCTCGTGCGCTGCCGCATCACAATCACCCTGCACTTAAAGGGCGCCCCCCCGCAGCCCCACATCAGTAGGGTCTTTGAGCAAACCAACATTGCCAGGCCCAGCCACCTCCTTGGCTGCAGCCACTTGCAGTGATGAAGCGCAAATCACGGCGCCGCAAGGCCCCGTGTCCAGCAGCGCTGCCAGAGGAGAACGAGCCCTCCTGTGCGCCTCCCCAGTGCAAGAGGCAGCAGGACGGCCCTGGTGAGGAAGGTGAGTGCACAGCATCCCGCTGGGACCCTGCCAGAGGGGACTGTGGACGCAAGCACCATAGGAAGGTGGTTGCGTCTCTCCCCCATCCCGCTCCCAGCATTACACTGGGACCCCGTCACAGTGCAGGGGGTGATGCTGCTGCCCCCCCTGCAGTGTGCGGGTTCTGCCGGCGGGCCGATTGCAACCCCGAGGTGGTGGGACAGCTTTGCCGTCAGGGTGGTTTCTGCGTGCATGAAAATTGCCTGGTGAGTGCCTGGTCCTGACACCCCCCTCTCCGCGGCCCCGCACCGCCAGCAGCCCCTGGCACATACCCTCTTCTCCCCTCTTGCAGTACCACGCCAGCAGGCTGCAACAGAGAGGGGCCGATGAAGAGGGCTTCTACGGCTTCCTCTTCCCTGACATCAAGGAGGAGCTGAAGCGGGTGGCACAGAAGGTGGGGCCTGAGGGCATCACGGTCTGCATTCCCTATGTCCAGCACTGCACAGGCCAGCAATCCCCCAGGGATGCTCTGGCAGCTGGCTGCAAGCAACCGCCCAGATGCCCCTTGATCCAAAAAGTCCTCTTTTCTGGAAACTGGGACTGGGAGAGACAAAGTGGATTTATCAGTGGTCCGGTGTCACTGGAACGTGGTGGGGTTGTGCTGGATGAGGGCAAACAGGAATCCCCAGGGGCATGGCTCCAGAGAAGGGCAATTGTGGAGTTTCACGACAGGGACTCAAGTTGATGCAGAGCCTCAAATCCTCCTTTATTCCCACCAAGCCTTTTTTATCCCCTTGGTGGGTCCTTTCCCAACCTGCACATGCATACAACGTTCAATCTCATTGGCCACTGTGAAACTCTCCAGGTAAATAGTCCAATCACGGCGTTGCAGACCCTCTCACAGCCCCCACATTGTCTGGCCTTCAAGGCCCCAACTCATTGCCGCAGGGCTTGTCAAAGCACCAAGGCTTCGGAGCTCATTCCCAAACTCTTTTTCATGCCAATCTTTTCGCCTTCACTCCCCACAGGCAACGGAGCTGGTGCAGGGCCTGGAGCACAAGCCTGATGGGGAATGGCTGAGGGACCTGGGGGGGGGGGGGCGGGGCGCTAGTCTGGAGAAGAGAAGCTCTCAGGGGGGACCTTAGAGCTCTCTACAGCTGCCTGACAGGAGGGAGCGGTATCTGCTCCCAAGAAACAAGTGTCAGGATCAGAGGAAATGCCTTCAAGCGGGAGGTTTAGATGGAGATGAGGAACAATTCCTTCCCCAGAGGGTGCTCAGGCATTGGAACAGGCTGCCCAGGGCAGCGCTTGGAGCCACCGTCCCTGCAAGTGTTCACACCCCATGTAGGTGAGGCCCTCAGTGCCATGGCTTAGTGGTGGCCTTGGCAGTGCTGGGGAACGGTTGGACTGGATGAGCTTGAAGGTCTTTCCCAAGCTGGTTGATTCCATGGCTCTATGGTTCTATGTGGCACTGACACCATTCCCCTCCTGTCATCCCCAGAGGTGCTGCATATGCCGCCAGCGGGCGCCTCGGTCACCTGCAGAGCCCGGCGCTGTCCCCGCACCTTCCACTACCCCTGCGGCAGCGAGCGGGGCTGCATCTCCCAGTTCTTTGGGGAGTACAAGTGAGTGTCACCGCCCTGGGGTACCCGAGCCAGGGCCGGGATGGACGAGAGCTGGGGCTGAATCATCACCTCTGTCCGCAGGTCCTTCTGCTGGAAGCACCGGCCGCTGCAGCGGGTGCGGGCGGTGCAGCAGGAGCAGACCCTGTGCCTCATCTGCCAGGAGGCGGTGGCGCAGCGGCCGTGCTATGACACCCTGGTCTGTCCCACCTGCACCAGCGCCTGGTTCCACCGCCACTGTATTCAGGTAGGCAGCAGCAGCACCTGCGGTCCCCGACGTCATCAACCCTGTGGTCACCCCATCACCAAGCTCCTGGGGAGGGTGAATGGGACCCCACCACCGCTGGTGCTGATGCTGCATCTGTCCCAGGGCCAGGCGCTGCGCTCTGCCCTGCACTACTTCCGCTGCCCTCTCTGCAGTGACAAGGACACCTTCCAAAAAGAGATGTTCCGCCTGGGCATCAAAATCCCGGACAGGTCGGTGCCCTCCCCCTGCCTCCTTCCCCTCTGCGGTGCTCCGGCCGATCCCCTCCTGCCTCCCCACATCCCCAGGCCTGAGCGCTCCTCTGGTCCCACAGGGATGCTGCCTGGGAGGAGAATGGAGCCTTTGCCAGCCTTTATGAGCGGCACAGATCCTGCGACACCAGCCAGTGCCTGTGCCCCGCGGGACAGGAGGAGGCAGAGGAGAATGGGTGAGTGCTGGTGGTCCCTGAGGTCGCCCCCTTCGGGTGGTGATGAAGGTACCAGGCTGGCAACCCCCATCCATCTCAGGGGCCTTTGGTTGCAATGGGTCCCATTGCCCCCCCAGGCCCTGGCGACTGCTGCTCTGCCACTCCTGTGGCTCCAGAGGGACCCACCGGCGCTGCTCCAACCTGGGAGAGGAGGTGGATTCCTGGGAATGCTGGGACTGCAGCGACACGGGCACTGGTGAGGCCTGCAAGTTGGGGGGCGGGACACAAGATCCCAAGAGCCATGTGGCCACCACTGCTACTTGGGACATGGGGACAGGCTCAGGGCTGTGATGGAGGGAGGGCGGGAGGGAGGGAGGTAGCGAGGGAGCGAGCGTGGCACAGGCTAGGTGTGCTCATCATTCCCCTGCCCCTTGCAGTGCCAGCCTTGCTGCCAGGCCAGGTGCTGGACCCACTGGCACAGGGCCCCTCACACAGTGTCCCAGCTCCTGACACCTCACCTGGGGACGAAGAGGCTGGGATCCCGCCAGGACGCCGCGACGTTACAGAAGGGCTCCAGGAGTAAGGCCATGGATCCTTGGAGGCCTTGTGCGAGCAAAGCAAAGTGTAGGCCTCACATGTACATGACTTAAGCTGAAGGGCACACTGTCCTTGACCTCTGGGGAAAGTCCCTAGGGGCGGAGCTGCGGTTGAAGACCCCTGTAAACAGAGACCGTATATGGAAGGGGAATGTAAATGAAACCGTTCAGAACTGGCCAATGCTGTTATGTCTGGTAGGCATAATTAGCGCTACGAGGATATAAGCCATGTACAACACGAATAAAGTAGAAGCTTGTTTATCGCTCATATTGGGTTGTTGTGTCTGGCTTCTCCTCGCCGTCGGCACCCCGACACCAACCGACCCTCCCAGACCCTACCCTAGAGATGTGCGGGTTCTCTCTAATGAAACTTGGAGCTTCACAGACGTGGGTTTGCTGGTTGTGCCTGAGCACTGCAGGGCAAGAGCCGCTGCTTTGTCCCCAACCTCCTCCTGGCATCACAGGGGATGCCGGGCTGCTTCCCAAATAGGAGCTGGCACTGGGCACCCAGTGGAGATGCTGGTGTCATCCCATGGGTGGCACTGGAGCTGAACCCAGGTTCCGGAGGGGGAGGCACCATGGGGGATGCTGTGGGGCTGAGGATGCTCTGTTCCAGAGAGAGCAGTGACCCCAGGATGCGTGGAGAGCACGGGTGTCACCATGGGTCTTGTCTCTCCCATCGGGGCTCCAGCGGGGACCTCAGAGCACACAAAGGAGTTGATAACACAAATACTTTCTTCAGGCATCGAAACTCCTGACTGTTCATTAGCAAGTAAATTGATATGGTTTAAATAATTTTCAGTTGAAATTATTACTTTTGATATAATTTATTTTATTTGGTGTTTTTTTCCCCCGCTTTTTAGCAAAAAGTACTTTGTTTAATTAAGTTAAATAGAAAGCTTTCCCACTGAAGAAGGCTGCAGTCCAAGTGGTCTCTTGTGTACTCAGGGCTGGGGAAGCACCAGGGGCATGACGGGTGGCAAGGGGGAAGGGTCAGTTCTTCAGGCTCTGGAAGCGCTGCAGATGTGCCTGCAGCCAGGACCCCTGGGATCTGTGCACAGCTCCTTCTTGGTGATGATCATGCTGCCAGGACAAGTCCCACGTTAGAGTGCTCGGCCGGGGCAGCGGGGTGCCTGCGATAGTTCCCCAGCCATGGCTGGGGCAGAGGGATGTGGACATGGCCCTCTTAGCCCCCAGAGCTACTCCCATCACTCTTGGCTGGCTGCAGCTGCTGCTGGTGATATAAGCAGGGGTGATGAGGTGCCGTGGGATGGGGCGTTGCTGGTAAGTGAAGCAGCACGTGGTGGGGACACCATCTGTGAGGGCAGAGACAGAGAGCCCTGAGGAGACCCCAGACACAGGGGTTCCCGGAGGATTTGCCGTCTCCCATGTCCCCTCTTGTGTGCTATTCCCTGGGTGCCAGCGTTGACCTCTTGCTCCCAGCTCTCTCCCTCCTGATGGGGATGGAGCTCACGCTCTGCCCCAGCAGCTCCTATGGAGCAATGGCACAGTGCGCCCCAGGGAGGGTGCAGCAATGCTGGACTCACCGAGATGGGCCTCAGATGGGGAGCGGGCAGCCACGAGGAGGAGAGGCGACCAGAGCGGCTGCAGAGAACTTCATGGTGCTGCGGAGCTGAGGCATCTGAAGCAGGGCTGGAGCTGGGCACTGCAGGGCTCTGCACAAGGCTCAGCCCTGTGGCCATGCCCTCCTTTCCTCCCCGGCCACGTGGCCCGCACAGGCTTTCAAGGAAAGAAAATGAGTCCATGATACCAGGGAAATTATGTTCAAAGCACCCCTATTTGCTGAACTGGAGAAGGAAACCGCAGAAAGGGAAGCGCTGGCCATGGAAGTGCAACTTTCAGATTCCATTTGGGTGCCCCAAACGCCACAGCACCAACACTGCCACTGCTGCAAGGATCCCCCACCAGGCATGAGCCAGGCCGAGGCACAAAGCTCCATGGCCAGAGCCCCAGTGGCAATCTCAAGGAGGCAGCAAGCTCCAGGCAGGGATTTGCTTTGCCGCATCGCCGTGTTCAGCCGTGTTGGGAGGCTGAGGAGCTGCTCTGTGGATGGACACCCCCAGGCTCTGCTGCTGTTGCTGACAGAAGACCACTGCCAGGAGAAAGCTCCCAGCTTAGTCCCAATTTTGGCACAAACAGCCTTTCTCACCCTGCTCCCCTGATCAGAGCAGAGATTCAGAGTTAGCGTCAGACCTGGCACCCAGGCTGGGGAGATCAGTAGTAAGCCCTCCGTGGGCAGGTCCGTGGGCAGGGGAACAGGGGTTCCTACCCTGCAGCAAAGCATCACTGCCATGGATGTGAGAGGGGACCCCTTGTAGCAGAAGGAAGGAAGAGAGTCCCAGGGGTACCCCCAAATCTCTTGTGCCAGGGGTGGAAAAGCACCAATCCCTTTTGCCTCCCCTCATTCTGCAGCCCCTATAGCTATTGTTCCTACAAGGAGGGCATAAAATCCCTGCCCTCCTCATCAAGAGCTACCAGGAGATACCTTCCCACTGCTCCCACAAGACTCTGCGCTGAGTACCCCAAGCCAGCCTTCCTCCCTGGCACCCAGCTCCTCACCTTCACTCACCCACCTTCCCTGTGCTCTTCCCTACGTTCCTTCCTTGTTCTGCCTTTCAGGAAGCCCCAAAGAGAGCCACCCCCAAAGGGTTCCATGAGGGACTGCACTGGCTCTTCCCATGCACTTCCTTTCTCACTGCTCTAGCCCAAAGAGCCCCAGAACTCCCCATTTCAGCTGCCATCAAGAAAAGCGGGAAGGAAGCCAAGGCTCCAGATTGCTTAAAGTCAGACCTCTGGGGGGATGTGGGGAAAGGATGCTGCAGGGCACCCCAGGGCATGGCTCACCCTGCATTCCCCCATCTAACGCAGCCCTTCTCTCCCCCGCAGCGTGGAGCTGCAGAATGGGAAAGAGGTTCTGCGTGGTCCAGGACTGGTTCCAGCAGCACCAGCGGCAGAAGCAGTCAACCCGCACGTCCGCGTGAAGCTGCCTTCCCCATAAGCCGTACATTGCTCAATAGGTTTAATACAAGATCTCATGCGGATCTGCTGCTGGAGTGAGACTGGATAAATCCTGCGGGATAAACGGGTCACATCAGCATTTGTTATCACCACGGGGACCCAGGAATAGTCCAGGAGGCCTGGAAGGGCAGGGAAACCAAAAAGGGGCACGGCCGATCCCCTCCAAGATGAAGCAGCCCGTGCCCAGGCGAGGTTCACCAAGGCTCAGTGCTAATGCTGCCCTTGGGTCACAACAACCCCATGCACCAGGGAAAAGAGGCTGGTGGAAATGGCTTGGGGTGGTGGTCAAAAGCCAGCTAAAGCTGAGCCAGGTCTGTGGCCAGATGGCCAAGAAGGTCAACGGCATCCTGGCTTGTATCAGCAATAGCGCGGCAGCAGGGCCAGGGAAGCCATCGTCCCCCTGTACTGGTGGGTCCCGTGCCGGTGGGTCCAGCGCCTGGGCTGGCTGCAAGGTGGGCACTGCGAGGGGCAGGGAGACGATGAGCAGAGCCAGCCCACACCACGCTCCCTCCCTCCATCTGTCCCTGGATCGCAGCCCTGTGCCTGTCCCCGCATTCCAGATGCCCCGGGCGGAGCCCTCGTGCGGTGCCGCGTCACAATCACCCTGCACTTCAAGGGCGCCCCCCCCCACAGCCCCACATCAGTAGGGTCTTTGAGCAAACCAACATTGCCAGGCCCAGCCACCTCCTTGGCTGCAGCCACTTGCTGTGATGAAGCGCAGATCACGGCGCCGCAAGGCCCCGTGTCCAGCAGCGCTGCCAGAGGAGAACGAGCCCTCCTGTGCGCCTCCCCAGTGCAAGAGGCAGCGGGACGGCCCTGGTGAGGAAGGTGAGTGCACAGCATCCCGCTGGGACCCTGCCAGAGGGGCCTGCGGATGCAAGCACCATAGGAAGGTGGTTGCGTCTCTCCCCCATCCCGCTCCCAGCATTACACTGGGACCCCGTCACAGTGCAGGGGTGAAGGGGGTGAGTGCTGCTGCCCCCCCTGCAGTGTGCGGGTTCTGCCGGCGGGCCGATTGCAACCCCGAGGTGGGTGGGAGAGCCTTTGCTGTCAGGGTGGTTTCTGCGTGCATGAAAAATTGCCTGGTGAGTGCCCTGGTCCTGACACCCCCCTCTCCTATGCGGCCCCGCACCGCCAGCAGCCCCTGGCACATACCCTCTTCTCCCCTCTTGCAGGACCACGCCGGCAGGCTGCAACAGAGAGGGGCCGATGAAGAGGGCTTCTACGGCTTCCTCTTCCCTGACATCAAGGAGGAGCTGAAGCGGGTGGCACAGAAGGTGAGGCCTGAGGGCATCACGGTCTGCATTCCCTGATGTCCAGCACTGCACAGGCCAGCAATCCCCCAGGGATGCTCTGGGCAGTGGCTGCAACAACATTAGATGCCCCTTGATCATCTTTTCTGGAAAATCGGGACTGGGAGAGACAAAGTGGATTTATCAGTGGTCCGGTGTCACTGGAACGTGGTGGGGTTGTGCTGGATGAGGGCAAACAGGAATCCCCAGGGGCATGGCTCCAGAGAAGGGCAATTGTGGAGTTTCACGACAGGGACTCAAGTTGATGCAGAGCCTCAAATCCTCCTTTATTCCCACCAAGCCTTTTTTATCCCCTTGGTGGGTCCTTTCCCAACCTGCACATACATACAACGTTCAATCTCATTGGCCACTGTGAAACTCTCCAGGGAAATAGTCCAATCACGGCGTTGCAGACCCTCTCACAGCCCCCACATTGTCTGGCCTTCAAGGCCCCAACTCATTGCCCCAGGGCTTGTCAAAGCACCAAGGCTTCGGAGCTCATTCCCAAACTCTTTTTCATGCCAATCTTTTCGCCTTCACTCCCCACAGGCAACGGAGCTGGTGCAGGGCCTGGAGCACAAGCCTGATGGGGAATGGCTGAGGGACCTGGGGGGGGGCGGGGCGCTAGTCTGGAGAAGAGAAGTTCTCAGGGGGGACCTTAGAGCTCTCTACAACTGCCTGACAGGAGGGAGCGGTATCTGCTCCCAAGAAACAAGTGTCAGGATCAGAGGAAATGCCTTCAAGCGGGAGGTTTAGATGGAGATGAGGAACAATTCCTTCCCCAGAGGGTGCTCAGGCATTGGAACGGGCTGCCCAGGGCAGTGCTGCAGTCACCGTCCCTGCAAGTGTTCACACCCCATGTAGGTGAGGCCCTCAGTGCCATGGCTTAGTGGTGGCCTTGGCAGTGCTGGGGAACGGTTGGACTGGATGAGCTTGAAGGTCTTTCCCAAGCTGGTTGATTCCATGGCTCTATGGTTCTATGTGGCACTGACACCATTCACCTCCTGTCATCCCCAGAGGTGCTGCATATGCCGCCAGCCGGGCGCCTCGGTCACCTGCAGAGCCCGGCGCTGTCCCCGCACCTTCCACTACCCCTGCGGCAGCGAGCGGGGCTGCATCTCCCAGTTCTTTGGGGAGTACAAGTGAGTGTCACCGCCCTGGGGTACCAGAGCCAGGGCCGGGATGGCCGAGAGCTGGGGCTGAATCATCACCTCTGTCCGCAGGTCCTTCTGCTGGAAGCACCGGCCGCTGCAGCGGGTGCGGGCGGTGCAGCAGGAGCAGAGCCTGTGCCTCATCTGCCAGGAGGTGGTGGCGGAGCGGCCGTGCTATGACACCCTGGTCTGTCCCACCTGCACCAGCGCCTGGTTCCACCGCCACTGTATTCAGGTAGGCAGCAGCAGCACCTGCGGTCCCCGACGTCATCAACCCTGTGGTCACCCCATCACCAAGCTCCTGGGAGGGTGAATGGGACCCCACCACCGCTGGTGCTGATGCTGTGTCTGTCCCAGGGCCAGGCGCTGCGCTCTGCCCTGCACTACTTCCGCTGCCCTCTCTGCAGTGACAAGGACACCTTCCAAAAAGAGATGTTCCGCCTGGGCATCAAAATCCCGGACAGGTCAGTGCCCTCCCCATGCCTCCTTCCCCTCTGCGTTGCTCCGGCCGATCCCCTCCTGCCTTCCCACATCCCCAGGCCTGAGCGCTCCTCTGGTCCCACAGGGATGCTGCCTGGGAGGAGAATGGAGCCTTTGCCAGCCTTTATGAGCGGCACAGATCCTGCGACACCAGCCAGTGCCTGTGCCCCGTGGGACGGGAGGAGGCAGAGGAGAATGGGTGAGTGCTGGTGGTCCCTGAGGTCGCCCCCTTCGGGTGGCGATGGAGGTACCAGGCTGGCAACCCCCATCCATCTCAGGGGCCTTTGGTTGCAATGGGTCCCATTGCCCCCCCAGGCCCTGGCGACTGCTGCTCTGCCACTCCTGTGGCTCCAGAGGGACCCACCGGCGCTGCTCCAACCTGGGAGAGGAGGTGGATTCCTGGGAATGCTGTGACTGCAGCGACACGGGCACTGGTGAGGCCTGCAAGTTGGGGGGCGGGACACAAGATCCCAAGAGCCATGTGGCCACCACTGCTACTTGGGACATGGGGACAGGCTCAGGGCTGTGATGGAGGGAGGGAGGGAGGGAGGGAGGGAGCGAGGGAGCGAGCGTGGCACAGGCTAGCTGTGCTCATCATTCCCCTGCCCCTTGCAGTGCCCGCCTTGCTGCCAGGCCAGGTGCTGGACCCACTGGCACAGGGCCCCTCACACAGTGTCCCAGCTCCTGACACCTCACCTGGGGACGAAGAGGCTGGGATCCCGCCAGGACGCCGCGACGTTACAGAAGGGCTCCAGGAGCAAGGCCATGGATCCTTGGAGGCCTTGTGCCAGCAAAGCAAAGTGTAGGCCTCACATGTACATGACTTAAGCCGAAGGGCACACTGTCCTTGACCTCTGGGGAAAGTCCCTAGGGGCGGAGCTGCGGTTGAAGACCCTTGTAAACAGGGACCGTATATGGAAGGGGAATGTAAATGAAACCGTTCAGAACTGGCCAATGCTGTTATGTCTGGTAGGCATAATTAGCGCTACGAGGATATAAGCCATGTACAACACGAATAAAGTAGAAGCTTGTTTATCGCTCATATTGGGTTGTTGTGTCTGGCTTCTCCTCGCCGTCGGCACCCCGACACCAACCGACCCTCCCAGACCCTACCCTAGAGACGTGCGGGTTCTCTCTAATGAAACTTGGAGCTTCACAGACGTGGGTTTGCTGGTTGTGCCTGAGCACTGCAGGGCAAGAGCCGCTGCTTTGTCCCCAACCTCCTCCTGGCATCACAGGGGATGCCGGGCTGCTTCCCAAATAGGAGCTGGCACTGGGCACCCAGTGGAGATGCTGGTGTCATCCCATGGGTGGCACTGGAGCTGAACCCAGGTTCCGGAGGGGGAGGCACCATGGGGGATGCTGTGGGGCTGAGGATGCTCTGTTCCAGAGAGAGCAGTGACCCTAGGATGCGTGGAGAGCACGGGTGTCACCATGGGTCTTGTCTCTCCCATCGGGGCTCCAGCGGGGACCTCAGAGCACACAAAGGAGTTGATAACACAAATACTTTCTTCAGGCATCGAAACTCCTGACTGTTCATTAGCAAGTAAATCGATATGGTTTAAATAATTTTCAGTTGAAATTATTACTTTTGATATAATTTATTTTATTTGGTGTTTTTTTCCCCCGCTTTTTAGCAAAAAGTACTTTGTTTAATTAAGTTAAATAGAAAGCTTTCCCACTGAAGAAGGCTGCAGTCCAAGTGGTCTCTTGTGTACTCGGGGCTGGGGAAGCACCAGGGGCATGACGGGTGGCAAGGGGAAGGGTCAGTTCTTCAGGCTCTGGAAGCGCTGCAGATGTGCCTGCAGCCAGGACCCCTGGGATCTGTGCACAGCTCCTTCTTGGTGATGATCATGCTGCCAGGACAAGTCCCACGTTAGAGTGCTCGGCCGGGGCAGCGGGGGTGCCTGCGATAGTTCCCCAGCCATGGCTGGGGCAGAGGGATGTGGACATGGCCCTCTTAGCCCCCAGAGCTACTCCCATCACTCTTGGCTGGCTGCAGCTGCTGCTGGTGATATAAGCAGGGGTGATGAGGTGCCGTGGGATGGGGCGTTGCTGGTAAGTGAAGCAGCACGTGGTGGGGACACCATCTGTGAGGGCAGAGACAGAGAGCCCTGGGGAGACCCCAGACACAGGGGTTCCCGGAGGATTTGCCGTCTCCCATGTCCCCTCTTGTGTGCTATTCCCTGGGTCCCAGCGTTGACCTCCTGCTCCCAGCTCTCCCCCTCCTGATGGGGATGGAGCTCACGCTCTGCCCCAGCAGCTCCTATGGAGCAATGGCACAGTGCGCCCCAGGGAGGGTGCAGCAATGCTGGACTCACCGAGATGGGCCTCAGATGGGGAGCGGGCAGCCACGCGGAGGAGAGCGACCAGAGCGGCTGCAGAGAACTTCATGGTGCTGCGGAGCTGAGGCAGCTGAAGCAGGGCTGGAGCTGGGGTCTGCAGGGCTCTGCACAAGGCTCACCCTCCATGCCCATGCCCTCCTTTTCCTCCCCGGCCACGTGGCCCGCACAGGCTTTCAAGGAAAGAAAATGAGTCCATGATACCAGGGAAATTATGTCAGAGCACCCCGATTTGCTGAGCTGGAGAAGGAAACCGCAGAAAGGGAAGCGCTGGCCGTGGAAGTGCAACTTTCAGATTCCATTTGGGTGCCCCAAACGCCACAGCACCAACACTGCCACTGCTGCAAGGATCCCCCACCAGGCATGAGCCAGGCTGAGTCAGGCAGACCTCGACGAACAAGATGGCATTTATATTCGATATCGTACCGATGGTAGCCTGTTCAATCTAAGGCGACTGAAGGCCCACACTAAGACCCTAAACCATCTTGTCCGTGAACTGCTCTTTGCTGATGATGCCGCCCTTGTTGCCCACACAGAAGCAGCTCTGCAGCGTTTAACATCTTGCTTTGCGGAGGCGGCTGAGGTTTTTGGGCTGGAAGTCAGCTTGAATAAGACAGTCGTCCTCTACCAACCTGTACCGCAAGAAGGTTACCGCCATCCCCACATTACCATCGGCGAGTCAGAGCTTAAGACAGTTCATCAGTTCAGCTATCTGGGAACCATCATTTCCTCGGATGCCACAATCGACAAAGAGATAGACAACAGAACAGGAAAGGCATATAGAGCCTTTGGAAAACTCCATAAAAGAATCTGGTGCAATAAACACCTGGAAAAAAGTACAAAGATCAGTGTCTATAGAGCCATTGTATTGTCTACTCTTTTCTATGGGTCTGAATCATGGGTCATCTACCGTCATCACCTGCGACTCCTGGAACGCTTTCATCAGCGCTGCCTCCCTACAATTGTAAACATCCATTGGACTGACTATGTGTCTAATGTCACTGTCCTCGAACAGGCAGGGGTCACCAGCATCGAGGCCATATTGCTGAAATTGCAGCTGCGCTGGGCAGGGCACGTCTCTAGAATGAAGGATCACCGCCTCCCCAAGATCGTGTTTTACAGTGAACTTGACACCGGTAGCCGCAAGAGAGCCGCCCCTAAGAAGAGACATAAGGACTCCCTGAAACAATACCTTAGCCTTGGCCATATTGACTACCATCAGTGGTCCACCTTGGCCTCCAATCGGGAGACTTGGAGGCACACCATACATAATGCCGCTGACTCCTTTGAGAGTTCACGAAGAACTAGTCTCGAGGAGAAAAGACAACGCAGAAAGAATCGCGCCCCACCTGTTCCACCCAAGGAGACCTTCTGCTGTGCTTTTTGTAGCCGGATTTGCCTATCCCACATTGGCCTTCTTAGTCATCAGCGCGCTTGTAGTAAGCGTGGGTAAAGCCCTTCCCAAATCTTCGTTCGCGAAGTCAAGCCATGAGTGAGATGACAAATCCTTTTGCTGTGCGACTCCGTTTTTCTCAAGAGTTCTGCCCGTTTCCAACTAGTTGTCTAATCTTGTGTCTTTAGCGAGCTTTGTGAGCTCATACAGTTATATCCACACAGCAACACCTCTGGTTTGTGAAAGCCAGTACATTCATGTGTTTATCACATTTGTAAGGGAAACGGGAGGGAATTCCCGCTTTTGCCCGAAGGGAGCTGAGCGGAGCCGAAGCCTCCCAGCGGGGACAGAGCTGACCGAAGGTACCCCAGCAGAGCCGAGTGAAGCCGATGCCACCTGAAGACAGTGGAGCCGAAGGGAGCCGAGTGAAGCTGAAGCCTCCCAGAGAGGACAGAGCTGACCAAAGGGACCAGAGCAGAGCCGAAGGGAGCCGAGCAGCGCCGAAGCCTCCCAGAGGGGGCAGAGCTGACCAAAGGGAGCCGAGCAGAGCCGGAGGGAGCCGAGTGAAGCTGAAGGGAGCCGAGCGGAGCCGAAGGGAGCCGAGTGGAGCCGGAGGGAGCCGAGTGAAGCTGATGCCACCTGAAGAGAGTGGAGCAGAAGTCACCCAAAGAGGGAGCAGCTGCCCGAAGGGACCCGAGCAGCCACGCTCCCCCACACGCACACACACATGCTGCATGTGTTTTCTCACATGCAGGCACATATGTGTGCAAGCACACACACTTGGTAGCAGAGCCTCAACCGCTCCCAGTGCTACAGCACCTGTGAGCACACACACAGAGGCTCAGACGCATGCATGCGTGCATCCATCAACTCACAGGACACGGGGAGAACGAACAACCCAACACTTTTATTGGTGACTTCAAAGAACTTCTGTCCTGCTCCATGGATAAGGACCATCACACTGGGGCTCGGGGCGCTTCTGGGACAAGCAAAACCCAGTCTTCCTCTGATGGCACACCACTGTGAATGACTGACCAGGTTCTGGGATCGCTGAAGTGACAGCAAGGACATAACAGCAATGTCACAAAAGTCACTGGGGAGGGAGTTGGAACTGAGTGAGCATTAAGCTCCCTCCCAACCAAACCACTCGGTGAGGCTATGCTTCTATGAACATCAAGGAAATAAGAGCTGGGAAATAACAGCCAAGAAAATGACAGCAAGGAAAGAGCATCTAAGGATATAGCCAAGGAGGCAACGTCAAGGAAACCCTCAGCAGTTCCTACATGGAACAAGAGCTGAACTTGGCACCAGCATTGCCACCATCACATTTACCTTATGTCAAAGACCCTCTTGTCCAAATCTGCCTCCTCCTGAGCACCGCGCTGAATCAGGGGCACCTTCTGCAGGGCAGGGATTAGAGAGGTGAGAAGCAGGCATGGGGCAGGGACCGCATAGAGGGACAGAGCTGGTGCCTGCTCCTGCCCTTACCTCCTCCTCGTCCCTGTCCATGTCCTTGCTCCTGCTCCACCACTTGGGCCGCAGCTTCCGAAAGCACCTGGAAACAGGCAGGAGCAGAAGGATGAGAAGCAAAGGATGAACTCCTCCAGTGCTGGAGGAATTGGGGGGGCTCTGGACAGGGCTGGGTGCTGCTGGGGCAGGGCAAGAATTACCGCTTCAGACACCATCTGCTGCTGCCTTGGGAATCCTTGGCACGTTTCTTGGCAGAGACCTGGTGACAGAGAGACGGGGACTCAGAACATGGAGGTTTCCACATGGAATTCTGCAGCATGGGGGAGCCAGAAGGTTCTTCCTCCAGCCCAGTGCCTTCTACACACGTGCAAGGCTGTGCCAGCAGCCACGCCTTTAAGAAGAGCCCCCCATGCCTCCCTGCCAAGCTCCCCGCTGCTCCCTGCCTCTGGAATGACCCAGAGTTCTCCTCAGTCTTCTTAATTTCTACCTTTCTCCTCTGCACAGAGCTCTGCAGGCTCCCCCCCGCCCCTTCAACCACTGCCTGCAACACGCACGATGCCTTCTAAAGACATGAAAGCTCATTTGTCTCTTCGGAGGAGAAGGGCCCCAAAGGGAGGTTCAAACTCCGCAGCAACGATTGGGCCCCTGCCCTGTGCCCGGGCATGGCCCCGACCCACCGGAGCAGCAGCACCATGCAGAAAGGCTGGGTATGGGCTCAGGGCAGAGAGCAGGGGCATTGCTGCATGGCTGGAAGCAACGGGTGCTGCAACAGAGCAGGGCCAGGACAGGAGCTGGGGAGGGGAGGCTTGGGGCAAGGGGTTGCAGGCTAGAGCCTGGTAAGGGCTGATGGTGGAGGCCGTGATGAGAGGGAGCTGCAGCCCCCCTGAAGGAAGGGGCTACTGGGAAGCTGCACGGCAGAGCTGGGGACAGACCCTGGCAGGAGCCAGGGCAAGCTGCTCCCAGCAGCTCTGAACACCTCCAAGCTCCAGGGTGGGGTGCCACAATGAGCTCCAAGCCTGGGAAAACATCTCTTGTGCTCGCCAGCACATCCACAGGCATCCGCAGCAGCACCCGGGCCCCATGAGCACTGTGGGAGCACCCCCCTGCCCCTGTGCTCTCCAGCCCCAGGGTTTGGCTGGCAGCGCTCTGCCAAACAAGTCCTTGGCTCACCTTGAAAGAGCACTGCACCAGGAGAGCAACGCATATGATGAGGTTCATCAGAGCGAGCAGTGAGAGCGGCAGCACCAGCGGCAGCCAGCGATCAGAGGTGTGCTTGGGCACCTCCTGGGAGAAAGGAGAGTGCATCAGGGAGGAGAGGAGTGGGAAGGGAGGACAGGGGAGGGGAGGAGGAGGAAAGGGAGGCCCCTTCCATACCCCCCTGCCCAGACACACACACGCAGCCGTGCCCCGCTCTCTCCTACCGTCTCTGCAGATTCACTGTGCATCCGCCTGGGCTGGACTTGGGCATGGTCACGAGAGGTGCCGGCATCCTCCTCCCACACACACTGCTCAAGGAGGTCAGAGGGCTCCGGGCCACGCTGCCTCTCACTCAGCAGCTTCAGGAGCAGCCCCGTCCTCGAGACCATCTTGGCGCAGGCCTGCTGGAGCTGGGGCAGGCCACAGTCCCCCCGCAGGGCTCGAGCCTCCTGTGCCATGAACCTGCGCAGGGCTCCATCTGGCACCAGAGCGTGGAGGTGGCGGCTGAGCAGGGTGTCAAAGGGGGGTCCTCGCTTGGCTGCTCTGCCCGGGGCGCTGGAGCTGCCCTGTGCCGTTGGGGTCGGGGGTTCCTGCTCCTTGTGCTGCCCGGGTGTGGTGGTGCTTGCAGGGGCGGTGGGTGGTCTCCCGCCTAGAGAGGAGCGCTCTGCTGCAGCCGTGTCCTCTGGCGTGCTGCTGGCAGCAGGGGGGCCGTTTTTAGCCAGCAGAGCATAGAAATACTGGGTAGTGCTCAGTCTCTGCTCTGCTCTACCCTCTGCTGCTGCGGGCTCTTCTTCTGCAGCCCTGCTGCCCACTGTCCCATCAGTGTCCTGCTGCTTCTGCTCCTCATCTGTCCCAGCAGAGTCCTGTGTTGGGGATGATGCCTCCTCATCTTCTGCATTATCCTCATTCTCCATCCCGTCAGTCGTGTTGGTCTGCTCCATGGCGTCGGAATGATCCTGACTCTCGCCGGACCGGGCGAGGTGCGAGGCCTCTGTTGGGTATTGTGTAGGGGGCTGTGCTGTAGCAGGGGTGGCTGTTCTCTGGTGGCTGGAGACTGGGAGGATGTCGCTGAGGTTCATACTCCGCACTGCTTCCCATAAGATGGACTCTGCCCGGATCAAGTCTAAGCCAGGCTCCTGTTGCTGCCAGCTTATGGCTCTTCCTCCCTCCTCTACTGCCACCTCCTGCCCCTTGTCCCTCTGCGCTGGCCGGGCTGTGCTGGGGCTCTTCACAGTCAGGATGCTCATGGCCTTGTGCAGCTTCTTCTTCAGCTGTGCCACGAGCTCCTCTGCTAGAAAATAGAACCTCCTGGTGTCAATAGAGCTGCTCCAGCCCCTGTGCTGAATGCTCTGCAGCATCACCATCAGCTCCTTGGTGGTGTTGCCCTCCTGCCTCGAGAGCTGCTGAGAGGAAGGTGCTGATGCATTGGGGCTGCTCAGGCTCAGGAGAACTGTGAGTGTGACGGTTCTCTGCCCCCTGAGGGAAGGCTCCTTAGGCTGCAGATTCAACACAGAGCTGCTGTTCCCTTTCCTGGGTGGCACCGTTCCCTTCAGGAGCTCTGGTGTCTCTGCCAGGGGAGCTGTAACACACCAAGAGCACATCAGTGACAAGAAGCTTTCTGCCAGACACAGGCTCAGAAGGTTCACTATAGCTGGGGCACATGGGCAGGGCTGGGGGCCAGTTACCGCAGCGGGGAGCAGTGCTGCTGCACACGCTCATGCAGTCGAAGCTGAGGGTCCTGCACGGGGTCTCGGTGCTGTGCTTGTGCTGGCAGAGGCAGCAGGCCGTGTCGTTGGACAGCTTGCTAAAGAACAGAGGTGTGCACAAACACTCAGCATCACGATCCAGGGCAGCGACTCCAGCCCAGGCGGCGCGCAGAAGCCTGCTGGAGGTGGGAGCCAGCCCTGCACACTCACAGTGTTTCCAAGCGGGGTGTCCTCAGGAGCAGCATGAGCAGCGTCTGCCGAGTCACGCGTGTGGCACCCAGGTCCCTGCAAGGGTTTCAGCAAACACAGCACATTCGAGGTGGCGGCGCCAGCCTCTGCTCCGGGAACAAGCCCAGTCCCTGCTGCTTGCGGTGCTGGCCGCAGGGGGATCTGCTGCCACCTTCGCAGCTGGGGCACAGCAGAACTGCTCAGCCTTTGCCTGGCTCTGCCGCTGCCTCCAGCAGGAGAAGGGTGGGATTTGCGGCTGGATCTCTGCTTTCCGGGCCACGGGGCACCCAGAGGCACAAAGAAAGATCCATGGTAAGCTGTTGACAAGGAGTCTGTACTTACAGGTGAGTGACTGAAGGCAGCCTGAAGAACCACGTGTCCTCGATAACAGACAGGGGGTTATGGCTCAGGACCCTGAAATGAACCAACACCCCGTGTGAGTGGGGGGTGCAGGAGGAGAGCAGTGGCAGCGGCTCAGTGCTTCGTGTGTGAGGAAGGGCCTGGGGTGAAGGTTCCAGGCCGGGGCAGATGCTGATGGGCGGATTCACAACATACATCAGGTCCTGACTATCTCCAGCCCAGAGAGCAAAAGCCCAGAAGTGCTGCTTCTGGAAAACACAGCATCCCTTTCTTTCCTCCTCAGCTTGCCCCTGCTGGTGGCTTCCCTCCAACAGGGCTTTCCCTATTTCTCACGTTCCCATTGTCCATGAGCGTTCTAACTGGTCCTGCACCCAGCCAGGCAAAGCCGTGGCCTGACAGAGCTGTCATTCAGCACTGATGCTGCTGCCTATTTGGGGTAAGAGGTGAGCAGAACACAGTGACAAGGGCCACTGCTCTGAGCTCCCCTTAGCCCTTGGAACACTCACAGTGTCTGGAGGAACTGCATCCCGTGCCATGCCCGGAACGTGTCGCTCCGGATCTCGGTGATGAGGTTTCCCTCCAGGCTTCTGGGGAAACAGGAGAGCACAGAAATGAATTGGGTCTGACCCCCAGGAAGCTGGAGTGAAGCAGCTCTGATCTGTAGGAAACAGCCCCATCCAAGGTGGAACTGGGAGGAAGCTGCCATTTTCTCTCCTGCTGCTTGTTAACCTGTCCAGGAGAGGAGACAAAGTGCATGCGTGCTGCACCTCTGCCTGCTCCAGGACACAGCAAGACTCAAGAGGCAGCTTCTATTCCTGCTGGGTTTGCAGGAGCCGTGGCCCCATCCTGGTGTGGCCACCAGCCATGCCCTGAGCTCCGGAGCTGGGCTGCTCCTTCAGCAGGAGAAACCGGAGGCCTTGTTCTAAGAATAACAGGAGCTTTGTCCATCACCAGAAGGTTCTAAATGCAAACAGGCTTCGGCACCCACAGCAGGAAGGAACCCCCATAACTCACATGGTCTCCAGGAAAGGAAGGTTCTCAAAAGCACACGCCTCGATCAGCTGGATTTTGTTGTAAGATAAATCCCTGTTAACAGGAGAACACAAAACGCTGGTGACGTTTGCACTGTCCTGGTTCCTCTCAGGGGCTCTGACACTGGCAGCACAGACCTGCCATAGCCCTCACTTCACACCTCTCTGGCACTGACTTGCAGTGGTGTGGAACCCGAGGTCACGCTCCTGACGGGGGTGGCTGCAGCTCAGAGAGGTTCTCCCAGCTCTGATCCCAGCAGGGGTATTTCAGGGCTGATTTTCTCTCTGGTAACAGCAGGTTCTTTATGCACGCCCCAACAGCACCCTTGTGTGAGGCCTCAGGGACAGGCTGTAACGCCCTGTGTGACCAACATGGGGCTATTCCCCCCAGCTCCTAAACGTCAGCTCCCTGCACAGCCCTGCTCTGCTGTGCGCAGGAGTCCTCTGGCCTGGCTCTAGAAACCAACAGGTTCCTTGTTCCAGCCTGAACTCGCTGCCTGGGCTTGTTCTGCAGCAAACAAGGAGAGAGGAACCTTTGTGGGGAGCGTTTCATGGCCTGCTCAGCCAGAGCCCCCAGCCCCGTCCTGTGGGGGAATGGGAAGTGCCTGCTCCTCTCCATGGGCAATGAAGCTGCACCATGAGCTCCCTCCAAGGCAGCTCTGGGGCATCTGAGCCGAGAGGAGACGAATGCACCAGGTTTGGCCTCGTGCAGGTGTGTGCAGGGACAGGGCAGCAGCCGCCTGCTCCTGCTTGGCCGTGGGGCAATGGGAGCGCAGCGCGTCCCTGCGGAGCCCTCCCCTGCACCAAGACCCTGCTCTGCTCTGGCTGCAGCCGCAATACCGGGCAGCAGGGCCAGGGCAGGGGGAGGCCGTGCCCACCACCATGGGCAGGGGGATACTTACAGGTGCCTCAGCAGGAGCAGCCCCTCCAGCGAGCGCCTCTTCACTGCCCGCAGGTTGTTGTGCTGGAGGACTCTGCAAGAGACGGACGGACACGAGCAGTGGCACCCGCGGCTCTCAGGGGCAATGGAGCTCTCAGGGGAACAACCCTGCAGCAGGGGCCCTGCAGCCTCTCTGCGGTCCTGCCACGGCTCATCACACTCACGGCAGGAGCAGGGGCTTGCTCCCAGCCTGCTGACCCTGCCTGCAGCCCGAGCACGGGCTCCACAGGCCCAGGGATGGCCCCGGGGGGCAGGAGGTTCCCAGCCCAGGGCACTGCTCGCCATGGAGCAGCTCTGGGGATTCACACCCCTCCTTGCTGAGCAGCTCGGCCTTGGCTGCACGTGGCAAGCACTGGTGCGGTGCTCGGCACAGCCTCGGCTCCACAGCCCGGCGGAGGGATGGGGATCCCGGAACCCCTGTGCCGTGTCTGGCACTGGTGGATACTCACAGCTTCTGAGCCCACGGGTATCCCTGCCAGGCCTGCAGGGGGATGGGGATCCCGGAACCCCTGTGCCATCTCTGGCACTGGTGGATACTCACAGCTTCTGAGCCCACGGGTATCCCTGCCAGGCCTGCAGGGGGATGGGGATCCCGGAACCCCTGTGCCATCTCTGGCACTGGTGGATACTCACAGCTTCTCAGCCCACGGGTATCCCTGCCAGGCCTGCAGGGGGATGGGGATCCCGGAACCCCTGTGCCATGTCTGGCACTGGTGGATACTCACAGCTTCTGAGCCCATGGGTATCCCTGCCAGGCCTGCAGAGGGATGGGGATCCCGGAACCCCTGTGCCATGTCTGGCACTGGTGGATACTCACAGCTTCTGAGCCCATGGGTATCCCTGCCAGGCCTGCGGGGGGATGAGGGCGAGCGCGTTCCCAGTGAAATCCCTGCGGAGAAGCCATTGGCAGCGTCACCCCCAGCACAAACCCTTCCCCTGCCCCAGGGCTGCAGCCTGGAGCTGCCCCCTCAGCGCTGCCCCTCAGCACCCCACAGGCAGCGGGGGCCCTGGAGCCGCTCTCGGGGTGTCCCGGGGCAGTGCCCGGAGCTGCAGGGCACTCACAGCACGGAGAAGGGCCGTTGGCGGGTGGCCGGGGGCACGCGGGCCAGGGCAGCGCTGCTGCAGTCCAGGCGGCGCCCGCGGCAGCGGCAGGGCCCCGGGCAGGGCCTCAGGGGCCGGGCCAGGCCGGGGGCCAGGCCCAGCAGCAGCAGCAGCAGCAGCAGCAGCGGTGCCATGGCGGGGCAGGGCCTGAGCGCCTTTGGTACCACAGGCTCAAGGCTGGGGATCCAAACCAGGAGCTCTCGGCTGCGACCAGCAGCGGATCTGGGGCTGTGCTGGCCCTGTGGGCAGATATGGCCTGGGGCACCTCACGCCTCACAATGGGGCCTGGCCCATGCAAGAGTTGCATCAGCCAGGCCTGTGAGGTGCGTCCCCATTGTGACATGGGACAATCCCTGCCACTGGAGCTGGTCTCTGCCCCACCTGGGGCTGTTACAGACCAGCACCTCTACGTGTGCAGCACATGTGCGTTCAGTGCGGTCTGTGTGCGTCTGCCACACGGTGTGCATGCATGTGTGCGTGTGCCTGAGGGCTGCCCTGTGTGGGTACGCGTGTGTACATGTGTGTACATGTGTGTACCTGTGTGCGGACAGCTTCAGGCCTGATGTGTTGGCTTGGGAACAGCAGTGTCACTTCCAAGGGACACTTGGCAGTGTCGCTGTCACACCCAGACCCTGCGGGGAGCTGCTGGCCAATCTCCTCCTCCATTTGGCTGGCAAAGGCTTCCAAGCCAAGGGAGTCAACTCCTTCCCCAAGCTCGCACACCCTCAGAAAGCTGCAGGGCGCCAGAGCACCTCTCGGACCCTATTCAGCACCAGAACACGCTGCATTTGAGCCGGGATGCAGCCGGGCACCCAGCATCTCACTGACAGCCCCGTGCTGTGCTCATAGGGCCTCCAGGCACGGCTTGGTTTGGCTCTGAAGAGCAGGGCAAGACTCCAAAAGGCACAAGTCCAATCAACTCACAGGACGCAGGGGGAATGAGCAACACAGCAGTTGTATTGGTCTATAATGGCTAAGGTAAAAGTAATGTCTAATCTAAACCTCAAGTCAAATCTTTAGTCTCTAAACCTAAAATTGGATCTAAACCTAATGTCTAATCTAAACCTAAAGCTGAGTCTTCATGTGTGATGTAAACCTGAAGTCGAATCTTCTTCATGTCTAATCTGAACCTAATGTCTAATTAAATCTGGTATCGAATCTTTTTTGTGTTTAATCTAAACCTAATGTTGAATCTTCTTGTCTAATCTGAAGCCTGTGTCCAATCTAAACCTAATGTCGACTCTTCTTCGTGTCTGATCTAAACCTAAAGTTGAATCTAAACCTAATGTCAAATCTAAGCTCAGGTTAAAAGGAATGAATCATGTTTCAACTACTCCCCCTTATCCTATCACTAGAGGCCCCTGTATAAAGTCCCTCTCCAGATCTCTTCAGGCGCTGGGAGAGGCTCTAAGGTCTCTCTGGAGCCTTCTCTTCTCCAGGCTGGAGCATTTGGTCTTGTTGAACTCCATGATGTTTGCCATCGGGTGTCATGAGCAGTGAGGGGCCTGCAGCATCCTACTTCGTGGGGAGGGACCATGGGGCTGGGGCTGAGCGCTCTCTGAAGGCAAGGGAAATCGGCTCGTCCCAAAATGATGTGTCCTCACTGGAAAAGCTTGACTGGGATCTGGCATCACTGAAATGACAGCAGGGACAGAACAGCAACAACATAACAGCCATTGGGGAGGGGGCTGGAACTGCAGGAACTGAACGCGGGGCCTGCATCGCCTCCTTCACACTTACCATTGGTTGACACCACCTTGTACAAGCCTGAGTCCTCGCCAGCCGTGGACTGAGCCAGGGCCACCTCCTGCGGGGCAGGGATAGGAGCGGTGGGAAGCAGGCACGGGGCAGGAGCAGGCAGGGAGGCGGAGCTGTTGCTTGCTCCTGCCCGTACCTCATCTTCATCCCTGTCTGTGTCCTTGCTCCTGCTGCACCACTTGGGCCAGACTCAGGGGCTAAGACTCGGAGGCTGAGACTCTGGGCCTCAGACTTTGGAGCTGATACTCTCAGACTCTGAGGCTGATACTGTTGCTGAGACTCTATAGCTAAAACTCTGGGATTCAGACTTTGGGGCTGAGACTGTGGCTCACACTCTGTGGCTCTGACTCTGGGTCTCAGACTTTGAATTTCAGCCTCTGTGACCGAGACTGTGATTTAGACTCTGTGGCTGAGACTCTGGGGCTCAGGTTTTGGAGCTGAGACTCTCAGACCCTATGGCTGAGACTGTTGCTGAGGCTGTGGGGCTGAGTCTCTGGGGCTGAGACTGTGGGGCTGAGACTCTGGTGCTCTGGTTTTGGAGCTGAGACTCTGGCTGATACTCTCAGACACAGACTCTGGCGCTGAGACTCTTGGGGCTGAAACTCTGGGCCTCAGACTTTGGAGCTGATGCCCTGTCCTGGGTTCAGCAGTAGCAGTCACTTTTTCTCCTTCTTAGTAGCTGGTGCAGCACTGTGGTTTTGACTTTCAGCCTGGGAACAGCGATGCAAAGATTTAACCAATGTACGGGACGGGTCCGGCTAAGCTGCTTGCTTAACAATGTTATTGCTTGCCCATACTCAACAAACATTTCTCATGCTCATTATGCTGTGCTAGAGCAGGATGGGAGGACAAGGCTACTGATAAGAGGAAGGAACAGTCACCTGGCTCCTGCTTTCTGGGCCCTGAAACCAGCTAGAACCAGCTTTGTGGTTTGGACTGTGAGGATGGAGGCACGGACCCAGAGATAGAGTGCAAGCTGGATCGTTTGTTGCAAAGATTACACGATATTTATACACTCCAAGCAATTAGCAAGCACACCTGTGTTTGCCTTGCGGTTACATCAGGTGAAAGGTCCATCAGATTTTCTTACCGACATCCTCTTCCCACTTCCGACGTCCTTGTTCCTTGCCAGTTCCAACATCTTCCAAGTACCAGTCAGGGACGGGTCACTCTTCATTGCCTGCTGTAGTTTCTCCTTCCCATGGTCTCTGACAGTTTCGATACATTCCAACCCCACAGTTCCCCCTTCTTGTTTTTGCAATGCAGTGTACACGTGTCTTTCAAAAGCTTGGCATAACATTCGCTGCAGGCATTGTAATAAGCAAGGTGCAACGCGGATGATGGCGAAGAGAGCGAGCAAAAAGATCAGTCCTCCCTCAACCAAAGTTAATACCTCTATGCAACACATTTCTTCCAAAGTTTCCCACCCATGTCCAAGTGTTAAGAGGAGAAAATCGATTGCTGCTCTATTTTGTAAGGTCGCATGTCTTACAGAATCCACACCAGTGAGCAATGCAGAGAGAGGGGATGCTGCAGTGTTAGCTCGCTTAGCTTCACAAGCCAGGTGACGTGGGAGCCACCGCATAGAATCATACAATAGTGCGGGTTGGAAAGGATCTTAAGATGGTCAGGTTCCAAGCCCCCTGCCATGGGCAGGGACCCCTCGCTCTAAACCGTATCACCCAAGGCCTCGTCCAACCTGGCCTTGAGCACTGCCAGGGATGGAGCATTCCCAACCTCCCTGGGCACCCATTCCAGTGCCTCACCGCCCTCACAGGAAAGAATTTCCTCCTTATATCCAATCTAAACTTCCCCTGTTTCAGTTTTAACCCATTACCCCTTGTCCTGTCACTACAGTCCCTAATGAAGAGTCCATCCCCAGCATCCCTATGGCCCCTTCAGATACTGGAAGGATGCTATGAGGTCTCCACAGAGCCTTCCCTTCTCCAGGCTGAACAGCCCCAACTTTCTCAGCTGATCTTCAGATGGGAGCTGCTCCAGCCCCTGAGCATCCTCGTGGCCTCCTCTGGAGTTGTTCCAACAGATCCATGTCCTTTTTATGCACCCACCATGGAACCAAGTAACAAAGGGTTTGCACCCTCTGGATCCTGAGCATTCCCAGAAAGCCCGTGGAGCACCGGTCCCTCTTGCCAGGCCTGATCCTAAGTCCACAGGCCACAAGCTTTTCATCCGACCTTTGTCTGTCCAGCACCTCCAGTCCCCAGCTCGATGGGGATGGGATGCTCCCACCACCCTCTTCTGTCCCCAGACCCTCAGAAGCATCTCTCCCCCTGGCTTCCATACTCCATGCTCCCTGGGATGCTTCTCCACCACCCTGATCTTTCCTGGGGGCAGTCACCAACTGCTGCTCCAGGTCTTCCTTGGGCTTCCCAGAGGTCCCAGCCTGAGCTCCACCACGTGTTGTCCTGCTCAGCTCCTCACAGTCCAGCCAGTCCATGCCCCCAGCAACAAATGTACCTGACCCGAGCATCCTCTCTTGCCTGGGTACCACCTTCCCGCCCCCCCGAGCCCTCTCATGTGCACTGAGCATCACGCATTCCCTGGGGATGGAGGTGGCGGATGGGGAGGGGTCAGCTCCCCCCATGGGCACTCTGGGTTCCCATTTCAGTGTCACTTTCACTGGAGTGTGTGTGCAGGGCTGGAAGGCTCCGTATTAAATTGCCAATCTGACCGCGTGCTGCCGGGAGGCGGCCGTAGCTGAGCAGCACCACCCCGCAGCCACTTGTGGGCTGGGGACTCCTCTGCTGGCTGCTCCTTGGAGTGCCCCAGAAGGAAGCAGCAACCAGCCACAGCACCCCAGGAAGGGTGAGGGGCAGAGCCAGCTCTGCGCAGCCCCCCTGGGCACCACCCCACTAAAGGCTTTGGTACTCGATGCCCAGCTGGGGGGGTCACAGCACGAAGCTGTCCCGTCTGCAGATGCCCCCAGCACTTGGGAGTGTGCAAGGCTGTTATAAAAATTCCGTCTTGGCCAAGATCTGATTTAATTAATTGTTTATTACAATGGATTCATATGGAGAGGCAATGAGCAAGCAGCGCTGGGTGCCCCGGGGAGTCTTCGCTCCACCCAAGACGCACACCGAGAGTTCTGGGGTACAGGCTCTTCTACTCCTCGGTCTTGGGTTTCAACCGATCCTGTCATCTCCTTCACCCCAATATCGACGTGGTTCCTCTTCATTGTTCTCCTCCTGTTACTGGGGTCTGACCTTTGGGGGAAGAAACTTCTTAAACAGTTATTGAATTCCTTGGCAATACATTAACAGGGGATGTCTGTCACAGGCTCAACCACCATCTTAGCCCCCCTCAATTCCATTGCTTATATAGTTACTTATTCAATACACAAGTTTCAGCTCATCCTGTAACAGAAGGTATCTCTTGATTACCTAACCCCCTCAAGGCATTCCAGCAGTTAAACAAAGTACCCCTTAAAGTAACAAAGTGTTTGATTAGGAAGGATTATTCCTTTGTTCCTTCTTCTCTTTCATCATTGTATTGACAGGAGCATCTATCTTAATCTGATCATTCCTATACATTCTACACATGATTTTCGATTCCACCCAAAGTACAGTGATGGCAAGGACTCCTAAGCTGCTGACAGGAATCATTCCTATATAGCTCACGAGGCCAGGTTGGACACAGGGGCTTGGAGCAAGCGGCTCTAGTGGAAGGGGTCCCTTCTACCCGAACCAGTCCGGGGTTCTAAGACCCCAAGGGGTGGCACCGCCGAGCTCGGGCCCGCACCACCGCCCGCAGGTGAGCACGGAGCAGCGCGCCTCCAGGCGGAAACACCCCCCGGGCAGTGGAGACGCGTGCCCGCGGGACAGAGCGGCCCCGAGCGGAGACACCAGCTCTCTGTGGTACGCGTGCGGCGCTCTAGGCGCAGGCGCGCCTCTCTATGGTAGGAGGTGCGCTCTAGCTGCCTTTCTATGGTACATGGGTGATGCTCTGGCCACAGGCCTGCGTCTTTATGGTACAAGAGGGGCTATAGCCGGGCTCGCAGTCGCCGCAGGGCCCGGAGCTCGGCCCGCGCTTTGCGCCGCTCGAGACCGGCGGGACCCGCTCCGGAGGCTCCGGCGTCCCACGGGCGCTGCGCAGACGCTCCTGAGCAGCGCGTCCGCTGCGGTGGTGCCGGGACCGAGTCCGGGAGGAGCCGCGGAGCGCCCCTGGGACCGCTGCAGCCGCCCGGGCCCCGCCGCGGCCTCCCTCCACCTCTCCCCGCCGCAGCGCAGGTAACGGCCGTGCGCAGGTAACGGTAACGGGCCGGGGAGGGACAGGAGCTTTCGGGCCGCGAACAGGAGCGAGCTGCAGGAGGTGTCCGGGGGAGGTGCCCCGAGAGCCGGCTCTTTGCGGGGCAGGAAACGACGCGGAGGTTGCTCGTGTTCGGCTGCGCCCACGAAGGCTTCGCTGGAGGCAGCGGAGGAGCTCGGAGCAGGAGGCTGCGGGAAGCGGTGGGAAGCGGGGTCTGGAGCCGGCGCTCGCTGCTGAGCGTGGGGCGAGCAGGTTCTTCCCTTGGCTGCCAGGGCAGCGCAGCGGCTGTGGATGGAGCTGCCGGCTCCGGGGTGCCTTTAAGGGCTCCTGAGTTCGCGAGCGGTGCCCGCGGGGGAGGGCTGGAGGGGACTCTGGGTCCTGAGCGCTCAGCCCTAACGCGGTGGCTGCCCAGGAGCTGCTTCCCAGCGCGGGGCTCAGCCCCTGGCTCGGCCCCTTTGCTCCTCCCGGGGCAGCAGCTCTGTCCCAGCCCCTGCAGCGCTCCGCTCTTGAGCTGCTTTCCCCGTTGCTGCAGTAGCGGCGCTCGCTGGTGTCAGCCGTGGCCTCGGCAGTGCTGGGAACGGTTCACTCTGAGGATCTTAAAGGTCTTTCCCGAGCTGCCCTGCCTGAGGCTTGCACACTATTGCTCAGGCTGCCTCCCCAGGACAATGCAGTTCCCTTTCCTCTCTCTCTCTCTGTCTCTCGGAAGCCCAAGGCTTCTTGTGCTGCTGAAATCTCATGGTGCTGGTGGGTCAGAACCCTTTGCTTTAGCCAGAGGCTCCAGCCGTGGACAGGGGTGCGTGAGTGTCAGCAGCTGAGTGCTCAGGAATGCTCAGTGAGAAACATAACCCTATGTTTTCCAGGAACTAGCTTTTCAAGCTTATCAAGCCCCCCCCCCCCATTTCTTTACCTTTACAAATTCTTTTGCTATGTGACTCCGTTTTGCTCAAGAGTTGTGCCCATTTTCAACTTGTTGTTTAATCTTGTGTCTTCAGCGAGCTTTGTGAGCTCATACAGTTATATCCACACAGCAACACCTCTGGGTTGCGAAAGCCAGTACATTCATGTGGTTAGCACATTTGTAAGGCAAAAGTGAGGGAATGCCCGCTTTGGCCCCAAGGGAGCTGAGCGGAGCCGAAGCCTCCCAGAGGGGACAGAGCTGACTGAAGGGACCCGAGCAGAGCCGAAGGGAGCCAAGGGAAGCCAATGCCACCTGAAGAGAGCAGAGCCGAAGGGAGCCGAGTGAAGCCAATGCCACCTGAAGAGAGCAGAGCCGAAGGGAGCCAAGGGAAGCCAATGCCACCTGA